ATGAGAACGAGAGAGAAACAGAACAAGTTTATATAACAATTTACAAGAGGTAGTGTATATATATGTAGAATATATATATATATATATATACCTGAGTGTGTGTGTGAGAGAGAGAGAGAGAGAGAGAGAGAGAGAGAGTTAACATTCCCATTACATTTCAGAAATGTCTTCAATTTAGAACAGAGTCATATGAGAAGAAGTTTAATGCTCTTTAAGGTTTACCCTTCTTCGGTTTCTCATTTATTTATTTATTTTTTATCTTTTTATTCACWATGGTCTCTGCTTGCCGGTAAATACCAAAAGATCTCGTATGTAGGTATCTATCCAAATGTGCTGCTAATGATGATAGCAAAGTGCTAGGGGTGCCAAGCATGCAAGGGCTGCAAAAGGGGGCTGTGGGATGGAGCAAATTTAAATAAGCTTGACGCACAGCCCTGTGGGGCTGGTGCTTTGGGTTAATTTGAAAACGTGCGATAAGAGAATTCAATTTTTTTGCTTCACCTTCTGCTGTGCTGTCAATGTATTGTAATGCCTGCATATGTGTGCGTGTGCGTATGTATGCGCGTGCTTATTTACAAGTAGTTCGCTTGTGCTGACTTTAACATGGTTTTCCTTACTTTTTAGCAATCAGCGTCAGGTAAACATCGAATTCCCCGTTGGACGCAAAGCCTTAACCATTCGGGGTTTTGCAGTTTTTTCTTCAAAACAAGTGCTATTTACAGCAGAGATACAGAAAGTAGAGTGCAAAAATAGGAATACTACAAGAGGCTGGCTCTGTCCTGGCCCAGCTAGACGCTGGAGACCTGCTTGAGCCAGCTGCTGGCAGCAGCCCATTAAGTCCTTGAGCACACATTATTATTCAATCAGATATGAAGTTTTATTTATTTTTTCCTTTTTCACCTCGGGCAGAGTCTTTTCTGTTCACCATTTGCTTTAGCTGTTGCGAGCACACACACACACATCTAGATATTTATATTTGTTTTACTGGAGTGTGATATGTGAATTGCGTTTGCTTTCTGCTGCTGCGCAGTGCCTAATGTCATTTAAATTGTTTAAGCTGTAGTGGAAATGTAATTTGCGATTAAGGCAGAGGTATATCGCTGCATTAGCAATAGGTGAGAGGAATTATTATATTTATATTTGAGTTATATGTGATAGGCCTTAAAAGGGAAGCTCTAATGAATCCTGACCTGGCAAAGAAGGGTTCCTCCGGCATCTCCACTCCCACTTTCGTCTACATGCTGATCAGATTTGTCAACTTCATCGTCAGCTATCTTGGCTGTGGCGACATAGTTGCGCTCAACAGTTTCAAGTATTTATAAGTATTTATAAGTTCAACTTGGTCATCAAATTTATGTGCATCGTAAAGGCGCCAAATCGAGGCGAGGCCACTGACAAAATGTTATGAAATCAAATTTGCACACAAAGCGTTGCTAATGACGCGGGTGGCGACAAGCACTGAAGCGCATTTTCCACTAGCCACCGACCCTCCCCGCCACACACTTGATCACCCCCCCCCCCCCCCCGTTCCGTCTCTGGCCAGCGAAAATTGTTTAATAACACGAGTTCTTAATTACGAGCATCGCTGGCACAGCTCGGTACTTATATTGTAACGGCTTTGACCTATTTGAGTAATAATTAAAATGAAGTACATGCCAAATTATTATTAATCATACAAACGAGAAAGACATCGGCATCGACATCCACAGCGCAAAAGATCTGAGTTGAATGCATTTTGGCCCCAAGTGTTATGCAACAATGAACGGGAAGACTCATGCATACGTAAATATTATTATTTATTTATTCAATAAACAATGCATAATTCTACTACTATGAAAATTGAAAACCATAAATAAAACATACAGTTATTATTCGTTTTATTTATTAATTTTCTGCTAATAAATATATAAGTTGGTCCAATGGAATGGAATAATTAAGCATACACACACTTATACATACGCACGCATGCATAGATAGACAGTGATGCGCATCAGTTTGTGTATAGAAACATATTTCACCATAAATTATTGCCAGTTGTAGTGCATAAACTGTCGCATAAAGTTGCTAGCTAAAAGAGAAAAAATAACAGAGACAACACACGTTATTCATTGTTAAAGCAACTGCACAAACGCGGGATAAAGCGGCAGTAGACATTGCATCAACAGCAGCAGCAACAGCAACAGCAGCAACAGCAGCAGCAGCAGCAGCAGCAATGACGACAGACGTGACTGCGTGTAGATGAATGCACGGGGCGTATGCGCAATGCGATATGCAACAAATTGCTAAACAAATCAAATTTATTGCTAGAACTGCGCACGCGAACGAACAGCAGCAACAGCAACAACAATTGCAGCAATATCAGCAGCAGCAACAACAGCAACAGCAACAACAACAATAATACGCATGTAAAACGTCACTGAGATAGCACAAATTAATATGAGCCGACATTTTTTCAAGCCTCGGGACTAGCTGCGTTGCTTATTTGTTGTTGCTGCTGCCGCTATCAGAGTTTGTATAACTTCATTTGGTTTGTTTGTTTGCCGGCACTGCTGTGAGCCCTGGGCCCATTTACTTTTTGTTAAACCGTATTCGTACACACGCGCAGACACACACACACACACACTCACGCGGACACACACACAGCCAAAATGAGGGACTGAGGGAGCATTGCGGCCCAGCAACGTCCGCACAGTCTGCATAACAACATGGCGCTCGGTCAGAGCGGAAGTCCGAGTTGTTCGGCGTTAAATTTATGCCCAGCTGCGATTCTACGCCAATGCCACCCAAGCGCCACAATGGGCTCTGCTTTCTGATTTTGAATCAAATAAATTTGTTTGCATTATAGAATAACAGTTACAAATATTAATTAACGAGAATTTGCTGAGAATACAATGGAATCGACTCTAGAGTATGCGGAGTGAAATTGAGTAAAATTGCGATCTGGCAACGCTGCTAGACAGAGACATCAGGCCACTGTTAAATGACTCTGCAGATCATCTGTTAACATACGCAAGCTCTGTAAAACCATGTAACAGCGCTCAGTTGCTTCTGATGTTAAATGCAAACACACACACAATGACAGATTTTTGGAATGAAAGTTTTCAGTTTTATCAGCTCGATTGTTGCCCATTGTTGCCACTGAATTGTTGTTGTTGTTATTGTATTTTGTATCTGCTGCTGTGGCAGTTGTTGATTTTTATTTTCGCAATTAGGAAGTTGTTTTTATTATTATTTTGTTTTATTTTTTACAGTCAAACAAACTAAACACGCACACACAGCAAACAAGCAGCTATGGCAATAGTAGCTACGCCCCTCGGCCACTCCCCCTCGCAGTCATATGACCACGCAGACACTTATTCATCAGCCGGAAGTTTGCTTGCCACTCCCATTGTTGTTGTTGTTGCTGTTGGTGTTGTTGGTGCTGTTGGTGTTGTTGGTGCTGCTGCCGTCAAGCAGGACTTGTTAGTTGTTCGTGGGTGTTTGCCGCTCATGCAAATTGCACGAGTAAGAAAATAAAATAAAGCAAGAAAGAAAATGCTAAAAAAAAAAAAAAAAGAGCAAGCTAGAAAAGCGCAAGCCAGCAAGCGGAGGGGCAAGTGCGGAGTAGCGTGAAAAGTTGCACAAACTCTATATATTTTTTGAATTTATATTTAACTGTATTACATGGCGCACCCCCAGCCGTAACTCTTGCCAGACCCCCGCCATCGGCCCCCTGGTTGGCAACGGAATCGGAAGTTATAGTTATGCCGCTCGCGCGGGCGCACTCTGAATTATTTTGCAGGCAACAACAGCACGACGAGCAACAAAAGTTTATTTAAAAGTTTTGCGGTTAAGCTTGTTACTTGCCAGCTACTTTTAGCGCGTGGAAATGCGCTCGGCTGGGCTTCAGTTGGCGCAAAATATTTAAGCTGTAGTTTCGGTTAAGGAGCAAACGGTCATAAACATTGGAGCTGGAGCTGATGACGGAGCTGACGATGGGGCTGACGATGGGGCTGAAATCGGAGCAGCGCGTGTCGCCCATTG